CAGTTTCCACCATTCCTTGTAAGGTAGCAAACACTATGCCAATTTTTCAAGATCTTACAAATTCAAAATCTTCTGAATTTGTAACTACTGAGGAGATTCACTGATAGGAAGTATTTAAAAGTAGCCTTCAGGCCAGGCGCGGTGGCTCACACCTGTAATCCCAGCACTTTGGGAGGCCAGGGCGGGCAGATCATAAGGTCAGAAGATGGAGACCATCACGGCTAATATGGTGAAACCCCATCTCTACTAAAAATACAAAAAATTAGCCGGGCGTGGTGGCAGGCGCCTGTAGTCCCAGCTACTCAGGAGGCTGAGGCAGGAGAATGGTGTGAACCTGGGAGGCAGAGCTTGCAGTGAGCTGAGATTACACCACTGCACTCCAACCTGGGCGACAGAGCGAGACTCCATCTCAAAAAAAAAAAAAGTGGCCTTCAATTTTTACAGGTTTAGAGACATAGTTTTATTCACTCAACCAAAATATAACCATATTCCAAAGGTTGTGCTACGCAAAACCTCAGGACACTGATAAACTATATTGCTGATTTATTAGCTTACAAGGAAGCTATAGGTGGGTCTAGCAGAATGAGGAAGGCTGGACATTCAGAGGGGGCTCCTCCTGCTGGGGAAAGTACATGCCAAGGCCAATGGGAAGGTTGCCTAGAGACCAATATGTGATTCATTAACTGGGTTAGGCTGAATAATCCTCTACACAAAGGGTGTTTCTGATTACACAAGAAAAAAGAAGGGGATGTAACAAGTATTGATCACTTATGCATTGGACCAGGTGTTTTCACCTTGCCTCCTTTTCAGGATGTTCAGGATTGAATATGTTATCCACCTATTTAAGAGAGGAAACTAAACCCCAGAGGGATTGTCACTTGCCCAAAGTTGCCCAGATAACTGAGGTAAAGGTTCAATTTCAGCTCTGACTTCAACCAATAGCTCCAGAGGCCTCCTAGCTATTAAAGTGGAATGCAGGCTAGGCGCGGTGGCTCACGCCCGTAACCCCAACAATTTGGGAGGCCAAGGCAGGAGGATCACCTGAGGTCAGGAGTTCAAGACCAGCCTGTCCAACATGGGCAAAACCCCATCTCTACTAAAAAATTAAAATAAAAATAAAAATAAAATTAGCCAGGTGTGGTAGTGGGCACCTGTAATCCCAGCTACTCGGGAAGCTGAGGCTGGAAAATCGCTTGAACTTGGAAGGCGGAGGTTGCAGTGAGCTGAGATTACGCCATTGCACTCCAGCCTGGGCAACAAGAGCAAAACTCCATCTCAAAAAAAAAAAAAAAAGTAGAATGCAGGTAGCCCTGACACAGCCTGTGTTCTCTCCACTGCACTCTGCTGCTATGACCATCCAGCTGCCGCTTTCCTCTTAGACATGGACTCGTTCTGCTTGACATGATTTCTCTGGCCCCACTTCTGAGTTTCATATAGGTCCCAGCTTTTATTAACTCATGATTATTTACATAAATTAGAATGCAGCTTACTCAAATAGGACTTTTTTCCAGTTATATTTTTTGTTCTAAAGATAACATGTGGCCTTATGAACAGCTTCACTATTTCAAGTTCTTGTCAGTAACATGTTTACAAACCATCTATGGAGATGGCCATCTTCTGGTGTGTTGTTTCTATCTTAAAGGACGGTCTTTGGTATCCCTCATCCTTTTGGTGTCCCTCATCCTTGGAATGTCCTAACTGTTGTAAAAACTGACCATATTGTTAATGCTTTCAGACTAGCACTGAATTTTACCATTTTGTTTTGGGTGTCTATGTGGAAAAACAATTTAGAAATTCATTTTTTGTGGATTCTTTAAAACTCACGGAGGCCGGGTGTGGTGGCTCATGCCTGTAATCCCGGCACTTTGGGAGGCCAAAGCAGGTGGATCACTTGAGGTCAGGAGTTCACGACCAGCCTGGCCAATATGGTGAAACCCCTTCTCTACTAAAAATACAAAAATTAGCCGGGCATGGTGGCATGCGCCTGTAGTTCCAGCTACTGGGGAGGCTGAAGCAGGAGAAGAATTGCTTGAACTTGGGAGGTGGAAGTTGCAGTAAGCTGAGATCATGCCACTGCACTCCAGTCTGGATGACAAAGCAAGACTCTGTCTCAAAAAAACAAAAAGAAAAAGAAAAAACCAAAAACCTCATGGAAATACTCATCTTAGAGCTGGAAATTTCTGTTACTTGCAACTCTCCTAACTGTGTTCATTGCAGTGATCTATTCCCCTACTAGACTATAAACTTTGTGAGGGCAGGATCCCTTTCTGCCTCATTACTGTTGTATATGTCCCATGTGCCTGAACATAACACAGACTAGTTTCTCATTATGTAAACATTTATCATATGGATAAAGTGGACTCTCTGAATAGTAAAGCGACAGTTGAGAATTAACAAGTCACAAATATGCAGAGTTCTTTTCCACATAAAAGTGCTGTGGCTCTAAGACCTAACGGGGCTCCTTCTGTACTACCACAAAGGCTTTCTAAATTGGTGGGAAAATACAATAATCATTGTCTTCACATTAACCCACAAGTTATTGGGAATACTTACAAAATAAAATTATAAACACTAAATCTCAAAACACTTTCTCACACATTTCAAAACTTACAAATAAGAATACACACAAAATGGAACCAGAGTCCCAACAAAAACACATTATATAGGAAGTTATGTGATAAGGGTGGCATTTCAAATCAGTAGATAAAAGAATAATGATTCAATATATGATGTTTAGATAATTAACTATAAAAAATTAGATTATTATGCCATACAGAAAAATAAATTCAAAATAGAATAAATATGTATGTATTTGCTCCATCATAGTATTAGAAACGGGAAAATATTTTGAATAATTTCTAGTAGAGGACAGACGTTACCTACTGCCAGGCACCATTTATTGCGTGGGAAGACAAGAAGTACACACAGCAGCTAGTAAATATGTTGTGTAAGCCCCCAGAAAGAATTCCCTGAAGAGGGGTCAAATACATTCTCAAAAAAAGATTCTATCACAATTCACAATCCACACAAATATATAAATATGCTAACATTTGGCAGAGATCAGAGCCAAAACAAAATTCTTAATAAGATTAATAAGCTGAACATATTAAAAAAATAAAACTCTGTACTGCAAAAGACATAGAATAACAAAAGATAAAAGAGTGGATAAAATGTTGACAAGACATAGGACACCTTGTCACTTATCATTATGGTTCAAAATCTATACATCAAAAAGGAAAAAATACAATAGAAAAGCAGGCAAAGGACATAAGTCGGCAAGTGATTGTGAAAAATGCTCTAGTTCACCCAGTTTTTAAATGAAATTTTAAATGAGATGCTTTAACCAATCAAAACTGATCATTCATTTGACTGGTGAGACTGTAGGAAACCAGGCCCTCTCGGGCTCTGCTGTATGACATTGCCAGATAGCAATCTGTCCTACATTTCGGTGAGCGATTGGCTTGGAAATTCAAGTCATAGGAAGTGAGCCTACAGAAATACTTGCACCTAAAGGCAAAAGTGTTTTAGCACTGAATACTGTTAAGCTGAAAGCTATCTAAGTGTCTGTGAATAAGGAGTGGTTAAATAAATTACAGTCTTTCCATGCAATGGAATACTTCCATATCACTACTATTCTAAAGAATGAGGTAGGTCAACACAGACTGACACTCAAAGATGTTCCATAATGTGTCATCAAGTGACTTACAAAACAATATATGGAATGATCGCAATGTTTTTAAAATGATACAGTTTATACACAGCTTAGAAGGATACACGTGTCTGTCTTTTTTTTTTTTTTTTTTTTTCGAGTCAGAGTCTTACTCTGTCACCCAGGCTGGAGCACAGTGGCATGATCTCAGCTCACTGCAACCTCTGCCTCCTGGGTTCAAGCGATTGTCCTGCCACAGCTTCCCAAGTAGCTGGGATTACAGGCGCCTGCCACCATGCCTGGATAATTTTTGTATTTTTAGTAGAGATCAGGTTTCACCATGTTGGCCAGGCTGGTCTTGAACTCCTGACCTCAGGTGATCTGCCCACCTCAGCCTCCCAAAGTGCTCGAATTTACAGGTGTGAGCCACTGTGCTCAGCCACATGTGTCTATCTTTAGAGAGTGAAAATACAGGGCATTTCAATTTTAACCTTATGTGTGTTTTAAATTTTTTCCAAGCTTGTATTACACCCATAATCAAAAAAGATTTTCAATTTCTTAAAAATAATAATCATTTGAGAAAAGTGCCCCATTTATTACAAGAGCTATTTGTTCTCCTCTCAGTGCACCTGAGGACCTGCCCAGAGTCAAGAAGTCACACAGGTCTGCATCACCCTGCAGGATGAGGTGCCATCTCCTCAGAGTCCTAATTCTTGTTCAATTAAAATCCACAACATGGCTGGGCGCGGTGGCTCACGCCTGTAGGAGGCTGAGGCGGGCAGATCACCTGAGACCAGGAGTTTGAAACCAGCCTGGCCAACATGGTGAAACACCATCTCTACTAAAATACAAAAAATTAGCTGGGCGTGGTGGCGGGTGCCTGTAGTCCCAGCTACTCAGGAGGCTGAGGCAGGGGAATCACTTGAACCCAGGAGGTGGAGGTTGCAGTGAGCCAAGATTGTGCCACTGCACTCCAGCCTGGGCAACAGAGCAAGACTCTGTCTCAAAAAAAAAAAAAATCCACAACATAAGGATAAGTTCCCCTAATGAAGGATTTTACCTACTGCCAGGTACTATTTGCTGCATGGGAAGACAAGAACACACAAGGCAGCTCATTGATATGTTAACCCTCAGAAGAAACTCCCTGAAATGGGAATCTCCAAAAGTGATCCTATCACAATTCACAATCCACATGAAAATATAAATATTCTGGCCGGGCGCGGTGGCTCACGCCTGTAATCCCAGCACTTTGGGAGGCCAAGGCGGGCGGATCACAAGGTCAGGAGATGGAGAGCTTAGAGAGACCCAAGATCTCCCCAATGCACTCCAACCAAGGGGAAAAAGCGAAACTCTGTCTCAAAAAAAAAAAAAAAAGAAAAGAAAATATACATATAAATATTCTAACATTGAACACTTAAATATTCACACTGGCCCTACCAACAAGATTCATGTGTCAGCTGCACACTGTCTTTACTGGCCACTGAAAAAGAAGGGTGCCAGTCCAACCAGCAAGTCCCTGCTATTCACATGAAGTGATGTGGTCAACTGGCTCGAGAGCCCTGTGGCAATCCATTGGCCCTGGTGGCCCAGGAGTGACGGCACCTTCTTCATTCACCTCCAAGAAGGCATTGGTCTCTTTGGAAGAAGTCAATTTCCTCGTGTGGCAGACTTCTGTACAACCTGAGTTCTTTTTTCTGTGTTTGTTCTTCAATCTCCTCTTGTATGTCTGATATGCTAAGTGTTAAAACATACAAGTATTAACAATCACTTTAACAAAGAGTCTAATTTGGTGACACTGTACACTTGTCAATCCTTCAGGTGTCTGGGTGGCATCATGTATGTATAAACACCCAGGAAAAAGAAGGGGGAAGAGAGAAAGTTATGGAACAGAAGGATTCGGTGTATCAGAATGACTCTTTTGTCTGGAGTGAACCATTTGTGATTGAGGCTCATTCATCAGGTTGCTGACAGCTCACAAACTCATATATTCATTCATTCACTCATTCACTTAGTCAGCTGGCAAATCCTGCAAGTGCTTACTAGGAGTAGGACACTCCTGGGCTCTGGGCAGGAGCTGGGAATGAGCTAGAAATGATGCTTCCCTCAGTCTCTCCAAGAGAAGGAATGAAAACATGGGTCTGAGACCAAGAGTTTGACTCTAATATGATTTATCTTATCTATTGGGGAAATTAAGCCCCAGGTATTCCTTATATTGTTATATTGATTGTTATTTCTGTAATCAGTATATAATAACAATCAGCAATCAGTACATAATCAGTTATATCAGTAATCACTGCGTCTTACTCAGACCTAATTCCCTAACAATAGTGAAAATGTACCATGGCCCAAGATTAAAATATATATATGTAGGTGAACATATTAATATATGTATTTTTCTTTCTCCACTTTTAGATTCAGGGGGTCCATGTGCATGTTTGCTTCCTGGGTATATGTGGTGATGCTGAGGTTTGGGAAACAAATAATCTTATTACCTAGGTAGTGAGCACCGTACCCAACAGTTCGTTTTTCAACCTCTGCCCCCTCCCTCCCTCTTCTAGTAGTCCCCAGTGTCTATTACTGCCATCTTTATGTCCATGAGCACTCAATGTTTAGCTCCCACTTATAAGTGAGGTATTTGGTTTTCTGTTCTTGCATTATATATATTTTTTAAATTTATCCTCTGTGAACACACATAATAACTCCAAAGTAATGTATATTTGGCTGGACTCATATGTGCATACACATATATATTTCAATATTTGTATATGTGTAATATTTCATATTTGAAAAATATTTCACAGCCATTCAGCACAAGTCTTAGTCACAGAAACAGTGAAATAACTTGGCATTTGGGAGACCTCAAGGCTTTTAATAAGACCTAACAAACCAACGCTTAAGAGCAGCAAATGTCACTTTGGAGCTCAATGATTGCTCACGGAGATCTTGTTGTAACAAGTTACGAAGTCTAAGTTCTGATAGTGGATTCACTTTTTTCTTTTTTTTTTTTTTTTTGAGAGGGAGTCTCGCTCTGTCGCCCAGGCTGGAGTGCAGTGGCGCGATCTTGGCTCACTGCAAGTTCCGTCTCCTGGTTCACACCATTCTCCTGACTCAGCCTCCCGAGTAGCTGGGACTACAGGTGACCACCACCACGCCCGGCTAATTTTTTTGCATTTTTAGTAGAGACGGGGTTTCACCAGGTGTTAGCCAGGATGGTCTCAATCTCCTGACCTTGTGATCCACCCGCCTCGGCCTCCCAAAGTGCTGGGATTACAGGCATGAGCCACCACGCCCGGCCGTGGATTCACTTTTGTGAAGTATATTTGTTTATAAGCTCATTTTCAGATATTTTATATATTTTTCTGTGAAACTCCCACTTGTGCCAAACTATCCTGTCTATGCACCTTATCGTCCCCAGAAACGTCAGGCTTTCAAAAAGTGTATCACAGTGTAGTCCCAGCTACTCGGGAGGCTGAGGCAGGAGAATGGCGTGAACCCGGGAGGCGGAGCCTGCAGTGAACAGAGATTGCGCCACGTGCTGCACTCCAGCCTGGGGGACAGAGCGAGACTCCATCCAAAAAAAAAAAAAAAAAAATGCATCACAGGGGCAGCACAGGCAAGTTTGGATTGAAAAAAAAGGTCAATAAGTTGGGTGAACAATTTTCTGTCAGTTATTTCCTACCCAATGGGAGTTCACCCACCTGCAACAATAAGAAAGCCATCTATCAGCTGGAAGAGTCCATAGGCCAGTGGGAAACTCAACATCTGGACCAAGTGCTCAGCAGTGAAAGATAACTGGAGCATGGTGATGCACATCTGAATATTCTGAGCTCCAGTTTCTAAGGAAATCGTCCTGCACCTAGCAAAGAGAAAAAGTTTCAAGAGTAATGCACTAGCAATAAGAACTATTCTCACATTTTCTCATATGCACCATAACAATTAGAAGCTATGACCTCAGGCCACGGAAAATGTGTACTCATTCCATAGTTATTTGCTGAATTCCTACTCTGCAGGTGGTCTTCTGAGAGGTATGGTGGAGCGGGGCTTTGCAAACCCTGCTCTAGGCATCTGAGTGAAAAGACAAAATAAACACACAGGAAAGGCTCAGCAGCAACACAAGACAAAGTATGGCCAAAGGCCACGCAGATGTAGAAATTCAGAAAATGGCAGAAGGGGTGAGAGAAGGCTTCACAGAGGAGTGGGATTAAAGGATGGAAAAAAATAGAAGCAGCTTTTGATGAGGGGGAAATATTATAAAAATTAAAGTGCCAGGGACAGGTGTGAGTGTGGCCTATTCAGCAGGCATTGCATCTACTGTAAGCCAGTCTGCACAGAGGAGAGGATTGGAGGAGATGAGAAGGGAAGGTTGAGTTAGAGATGGTATGCAGGGCATGGTGGCTCATGCCTGTAATCCCAGCACTGAGAGGCAGAAGTGGGAAGATCACTTGAGCCAGGAATTCAAGACCACCCTGGGCAACAGAGTAAGACCCTGTCTCTACAAAAAGAAAAACATATATATATAAAGACATATGAAACAACATAAACTAAACAACACTTAAAAACAAATAAACATGGCCAGGCGCAGTGGCTCACACCTGTAATCTCAGCACTTTGGGAGACCGAGGTGGGTGGATCACCTGAAGTCAGGAGTTTGAGACCAGCCTGGCCAACATGGTGAAATCCTGTCTCTACCAAAAATACAAAAATTAGCCAGGCATGGTGGCACACGCTTCTGTAATCCTAGCTACTTGGGAGGCTGAGGCATGAGAATCGCTTGAACCCAGGAGGCAGAGGTTGCACTCCAGCCTGGGCAACAAAGGTCTCAATAAATAAACAAACAAACAAAAAACCCTAAATAAAGACCAAATACCTAAAATGGTTGTCTTTGGCGAAAGAGTTTGGTAATAATTTTTCTTTTTGCTTTCTACTTTTCTATATTTTATTGGTTTTCTGGTTGCATAAAATGAAATAAACCTCATTTGAAAAAGACAAAGGAGGGAAGACAGGGAAGACCTGGGCAGGACATTGAGGGCTGAGTTAAGCAGTTTCATGTCTCCAATTTATAAAGGGGGTCTGCAGGGGTTTATACGTGGAAGTGAGGAGATAAAAGAGGTGTTTCAGAAAACAAACAAGCATCTGTGTTTAAGTTGGACTGGAATGGGGAAGTAACAAGGGTGTGTGATGAGGGGGTGAAATTGCTGTCAGTGGTACAGGGCAAGCTCTGTGTTCACACTTTATTTCTACTTACTCTATTGCTTGCTACACTTGCCTCAAACCACCCTCACTTCTTTCAGACTTTTGTCAAAAACTCCGTATGATTAAGCTACAAAGCTGGAACCCACACCTGCAACATTCATGAGCCAAATCTCAGTCCTGTCCTTTGTCAGGCTATCGGGTATGAAAAACATGAGACTGTGGACTACATCTTGCCATAGGAGTACTTTCTGTCCAGAGCCAATTGCATTTCAACCACGCAACAGACTGTGTTCCTAATTGTTAAATTTGGGGGGAAAAAAAAAAAAAACCCCAGGTCTAAATCCTAACTCCACCATTTTCTAGCTCTGTGAACTTGGTCAAGTCACTTAATTTCTCTGAAGGATCTGCTCATCAGTAGAATGAGGGTAGTGATAGGATCTACTTCTCAAGCTTGTAGTAAGAAGTAAATGAGATAGATGGGGTAAAGCTTCACCGATCACTTAGTACAACCCTAAATGTTCCCCAAGTGGACTGGAAGTAGCATAAAGCCAATTAAAAATTCCCATCTTTCACCTTTGGAATTCAACTGCATAATTTACTTTTCTTTAAGAAATTTTTTCTGCTTTTAAAAGTAGTCCATACTTATTGAAAAGCTTCAAAAACATACCAAGGAAATACTAAAGAACTAAAATTATCCTGACTCTCCCTACTCAAAATTAAACATTGTTACCATATGGTACATTTCTTCCAGTAATTTTTGATGCATAGAACTCTTTTTGCTTTTTTCTACAAAGTGGGAATTAAATACATGTCATTTTCTATTCTTTTTTAACTTAAATTTATCTCTTCTTGTCAATTTGGCCTTTGCTTTAATTTACATAAAGAATTACCACAATATTTTCCATGAATTGCCATAAGTTATCCTGCTCCGTTCCACTGTGTAAGTCAAAACTCTTCATGTCTCCGCACACAGGCAGCAAAGCCTACCAGTGGCAGTGTGTTAACTTTACCTTCCTCAAAAAAAAGTTTATGGATAGTTCAACTATACCTTTGCCAAGACTGGTGGGTAAAAAGTGCCAGCAGAAAACCCGTGACATGGCCAATCAAAGGGAAGATGAAACTGATGATCAGAAGGGTGATGTCTGAATTCCAAGATCCTTTCGCCAGGACCACACCAGCAACTGCGACCACCAGAAGGAGGACCCCACCAACAATGGCCCCAATCTGAAGCAAACAATAAAATAAGTGCATATAAACTCAGGGTTTTTTGCTCTATGATACAAAGTCCATCGAGGTTGTAAAATGCTTGGGATCTAGAAATTTTAGAACAAAGTAGGGACTTAGAGATGACTGAATCCAATTTCACTTTGTAGAGGAGAAATCTGAGTTCCGAACCGGTCAAGTAACTTGCCTATGCTAGAAATGGGTGGAATTTGACACAAATCTAAGTCTTGTTTTAGCATATCTACTTTTCCCTTCAAGTAGAAGATTTTGCCAAAAGGATTGGGAGTAGAGTTTTATTGTGGGTAGAACAAAAGTGCAAAATGAATGGGATCTGACAATGAGCTTCCAACATCCCTGCACATACCTCTGTGACCCTCTGCTTGTGACCTCGTCTGCCCTGCCTGACCATCTGCCTCCCCTTCCACCGCCCCTTCAACCACCAGCAGCTGCCTGCTGCTTTGGTCCCTGTCCTTCTCCCCACCAAATAAAATCTACCCATTCTTTATTGGACAATCTGAGCTAATACTCATGATCACATGAGAAATAGTGATGGAGACCTCTATCCTCTCCCAAATGGATACTATTTCTTACTTTTGTTGTTTAACAAGAACAGAAACAAAAAGCCAACAATAACAAAAACAAATTGAATACTTTGAGTTTTAGATAAAATAGGAAGGAAGGATGGCCTAGGGTATTTTGGGAAAATCAGGATCTTGGCAAGCTCCTGTTCATATCATGTAGACAGTAAACTGTGTACCTAGTTACAGTGTCAACCTTGATTTGAAATGATTCAAGATGTGAAGGAGGGTGGTCATAGGAAACTAGAGAAGACAACAAACAAATACACCATATACCCAATATACCATAAATGTGTTCTGGGGGTCATTTTTACTGTTTAAATACAGAGACAGACTAGACCCCTGCCTAAGAAAAAGATGCTAAGACATAAGAAAGCCTCTTGGCCAGGCATGGTGGTTCATGTCTGTAATCCCAGAACTTCGGGAGGCCGAGGTGGGCAGATCATCTGAGGTCAGAAGTTTAAGACATCCCGGCCAACATGGCAAAATTCTATCTCTGCTAAAAAAAAAAATACAAAAATCACCCAGGTATGGTGGCACATGCCTGTAATCCCAGCTATTCAGGAGGCTGAGGCGGGAGACTTACTTGAACCCGGGAGGTAAAGGTTGCAGTGGGCCAAGATTGCGCCACTGCACTCCAGCCTGGGTGACAGAGCAAGACTCCATTTAAAAAAAAAAAAAGAAAAGAAAGAAAAATGAAAGAAAGCCTCTGAATGTAACATCCCCTCTTCCTCTCTCTACCAAAGATTTCAAAGTTTAAAATCCACCAAGAGCAAATGAGGAACACTTAAGTTTGTTCAGAAAATGTGTCAGATTTAAAATTAAAATAGAACTAAGAACAGAGAATGAAGATATACTAAAATAATGATAACATTAGCCTAGGTTTTTTTTACTAAGGTGCTGTAGAATATTTATGCATATTATTAAATGTTTTGCCATAAATCCTATGAAATACCCAAAAGAAAAGAGTTTTCAATCTGCTCTTTACAGCAAATAAAACTGACATGTAAAAAAATTGTATCTGGTTTCTCCACTGACACTGATGGATTGATAAAGGAGCTGGAAACTCCAAAATCATGATTTTTGTTGTTGCTGTTAAATGCCCTTTTAAGAAAAATAATCAAAGATAGAGTATTTGAAAAGCAAGAAGTGGGCCGGGCGCAGTGGCTCAAGCCTGTGATCCCAGCACTTTGGGAGGCCAAGACAGGCAGATCACGAGGTCAAGAGATCGAGACCATCCTGGCTAACACGGTGAAACCCCATCTCTACTAAAAAATAGAAAAAACTAGCTGAGCGAGGTGGCGGGCGCCTGTAGTCCCAGCTACTCGGGAGGCTGAGGCAGAAGAATGGCGTAAACCCAGGAGGCAAAGCTTGCAGTGAGCTGAGATCCGGCCACCGCACTCCAGCCTGGGTGACACACCAAGACTCCGTCTCAAAAAAAAAAAAAAAAAGAAAGAAAAGCAAGAAGTTTCCATGATCATTTCCCTCCTCTTGTTTTGAAACAAAATCATAACTACCACACTGGAAATTTTCTCCTACTGAAATAACAATAATAAACGTGGAAAAGGGGCCAGGCACAGTGGCTCATGCCTGTGATCCCAACACTGGGAGGCCAAGGCAGGAGGATTCCTTGAGGCCAGGAGTTGCAAACCAGCTGGGCAACATAGCAAGACCCCATCTCTAAAAAAAATTTATTTTTATTAGTAGGGCAGGATGGTGCATGCCTGTAGTGCTAGCTACCTCAGAGCTTGAGATGGGAGCATCATTTGAGCCTAGGAGATCAAGGTTGCAGTGAGCTATGATTGTGTCATTGCACTCCAGCCTGAGTGACAGAGCGAGACCCTGTCCCAAAAACTTAATTAATTTTTAAAAATAAATGTAGAAAAAATGGGACTGTATTCCATGAGTTCAGCTAAAAAAAGAGAGTGAAAATCAAGTGTGCACCATTGATGTTAAAGTCATCCACGTGCATTACAAATGTACTATACAAGGCCATCTTCCAGCTCTCTGTGCCCAGCTGATTTGTCTGCTTGGCAAGCCCTCTCCTCTCCTTCTCCATCGCACTGAAGGAATGGTGGGAGTTGTTTGGCCTTGTGCCTAACTGGAAAAACAGGGTTCATTGGCACAGGCATAGGGAGTGGCGATGTTCTGTGAGGTAGAGCCAAACGATAAACCACAAAACAAAACTAACTGAGATTTACTACCTGAAACTCCAAGTAACCCCAAATGTTTCTTTCTTTATAAATGTAAAATATAACCAAAACATTTTTTAAATTTTCATGAAAGCCACACATATTATAACCTTCTACCTGCTAAAGTGATACATAATCAGAAAAAAAATGGAAAGCACCCCTAGGAGACTCACATCATTGTTAAGAATGCCTCCTCTTCACGTTTTGTTTTTTTGTTTTGTTTTGTTATTAGAGATGGGGTCTCACTCTGTGATCCAGGCTCGAGTTCAATGGCACGATCATGGCTCACTGAAGCCTCAGCCTCCTGGCCTCAAGCAATCCTCCCACCTCAGCCTCCCAAAGTTCTGGGATTACAGATGTAAGCTGCTGCACCTGGCCTCTTGAATTATTTTTAAAACCGTTTAACAAAGACATTTGCTTGTTTCTCCAGCAGACAAAGGGCAAGACTGCAAAGACAAGAGGAGGTAGAAAGTTCTAGTCACCATCATTCCATAGCTAGACTCCACAGTGCTCTCTGGATGATTTCATTTAAACAGTCTTATTCATGTAGTCAGCAGCCCTTGCTCATGTGTACAAACGACAGCTTTGGCGGTGCCCCCAGGAATGCTTCTGCAAGACAGCCCCTCCGCCTACTCTTCCAATAAACCAGCCATATTCCTAATGGGCGCCCTTCCATGCTCACTTAAACAGCTTCTGCCTCAAGAGCACCTGTGTGAAGCCTTGTGCATGCATGGGCCTGGGCTCTTCTGTCCACACACAGCTTTAGCTTTTCTGACACTAAATCAATAGTTGCTTGTTTTCCAGGGCGTCATAAGCCTCGGGGTACAGGCCTATGGGAGTGGCAGAGCAAGGCTTACAGGGTGGAGGAAATACAATCACTGGATCCAAAACCGCAGGACGTGTAAGGAGAATTTCTGGGTGTGAGGCTGTACTCGCCGAGCTCACTTGTCCCGGCCACTGCTCGCTTCTGTCTTTCAGGCCCCTGAGTCTGAGGATGTGCCAACAGTGGCCAGGGAGTTGCTCACCTTGAGAATGATTTTGGATTGTTTTGGCCATCTGCAATTCACATAGACACCGAAGGCCACGGGGATAGTCAGGCACACAAGAGTAATTCCTAAAGAGAAGAAAAATCCATCAGTGTTTTCCCTGTCACCCTGACTGCACAGCACTTCTCAACAACTTCCATTTCATTTAGATAACAGCTTTAAACTGACATTTTCCCATGCCACTTTCCAAATCTGGACAAATGCCTACAATATTGGCTCCAAAGTTATATAAGCTCCTCATAACATTTTGTGTCTTGTTTGTGAGTGCCTTTCAGAACATATTATCAAAGCAAAATATATTAAATAACTTACTGATCAGAAAAAAAGTTGCACATAAAATCATGGTTTCTAAATTAAGGTTTCCCTCAAGTTTTACAGATTCAGTAGGCTCCCGCTGTTGTGAGGAAGTGGTTTCATTCATGGTTTTGAACTATGGGTCATGGGTTGTAAGCCCTCAAGGTGTTTACCTGATACACCAGATTGACACTGACAGTCTTAAGAATCATAATGTCAGTAATCCTAGCACTTTGGGAGGCCAAGGTGGGCGGATTGCCTGAGCTCAAGAGTTTGAGACCATCCTGGGCAACACGGTGAAACCCAGTCTCTACTAAATACAAAAAAAAATTAGCCGGGTGTGGTGGCGTGAACCTGTAGTCCCAGCTACTTGGGAGGCTGAGGCAGGAGAAGGCAGAAGTTGCAGTGAGCCGAGATCACACCACTGCACTCCAGCCTGAGTAACAGAGCAAAACTCTTTCTCAAAAAAAAAAAAAAAAAAAAAAAAATAGTACCTATCACTTCTCCAAAAACTGGCCATACTAGAAAAGGCAGATCATTTCACTACATTTCTCTTCCAAGCTTGGTAAACACACAGAGATCTTTAGGAAAACGGCAGACTTTAATGACAAATAGTATTCAGAAGAGGAGATAATGAAAGAGATATGGGTGTGACTGTGACATGTAGATGAGTTTTCATAATCAGTAAGAATTATTTACATTCAACCTCCAAGAAAAAGTCAAGGTTCGCAGGCAATGTGAAGGGCGGTCACAGGAAGGTCTAATTAGTGCCACTAGATCCAGTTAAACCTTGGAGCATAAAGAGTCCAATTGCTTTATAGTCTAGTTATATAAGGGTTTGATTCTTGCTTTTTCAAAGTAAATTATCTGGCTTTCTTTTTTTTTCAAAAATGCACTCTTGTAGGGGTGAAAGTTTGCACTTTGTAGTCATATTCCCAGGTTAGAACTCCAGTTCTGTACTCACCAGCTGCATAATTTTGATCAAGTTACTAAACTTCTTGAAGCCTAAAGGTTTAGGAGATTGAACTGGTAACAGAATCTACACTGTAGGGTTCTTTAAGGAATTAAATTAGGTACTAAAAAAAAAAAAAATCCCTGCATAAAGAGTTATGTAATTAAGAGCAGCTATTATTAGTGTCATCACCATTACTGTTAGTCCTCCATTTCCCAGGCCCATACAGACCTATGTTCTGATAAGGAATGGTGAGATTCTGCTGAAGACTCCAGGACCAGGCGTAGAGATAAATGCAGAGTGGCATCATTCCCAGGGCGGCCACGGTGGAGCAGGTTGTCATACTGATGCTGAAATTGAAATTAATACAATGCTTAGGAGGGAGCAATGGACATGAAGTATTTAGTCTTTACCAGAAACAACTCCTGGGACACAATTTCCTAGCGATTACATGGACTAAGCTCCTTGGAGCTCATTTCTCTCCTATTATTTAACAAACGATGGCTATATCTGTGGTCTACAAAGAGATTTCCAGCAGTTCTTGTCATCCATCAATTACCTCATATTTATTTTACTACCTACTTGCCTTAAACATTCTGCTATAGGCACTATAGAATTTTTCTCTTATCTAGTTCTTTTTTATTGAAGTATAATCCACAAGCCATAAAATTCATCATTTTAAATTATACAATTCAGCAGTTTTTAGTATAGTCACAAAATTATGCATTAATAGCACCATTTCCAGGATACTTTCATTATCTCAGAAAGAAACCCCATCCCCATTAGCAATCATTCCCCAGTCCCTGCTTCCCCCGGCCCTTAACCAGCACCAATCTACTTTCCATCTTTACAGGATTACCTGTTCTGGACATCTTAGATGAAAAGAATCATACATGTAGCCTTTTTTCTGTGTCTAGCTTCTTTCCCTTAGCATAACATTTTCAAGGTTTGATAACAGTTTGACTGTCCTCTCCAACTCTCATGGTGAAATGTGATTCCCAACGTTGGAGGTGAGCGCAAGTGGGAAATGTTTGGGTCACAGGGACACATCCCTCGTGAACAGGTTGGTGCCATTCTCGTGGGATTCACTGAGTTCTCACTCAGTTCTTATGAGGTCTAGTTGTTAAAAAGAGTCTGACACCTCCTTCCCCTCTCTTACCATGTGATGCCTGCTCCTCTTCCCCTTCCACCATGGGTGGGGTCTTCATGAGGCCCTCACCAGACGCAGATGTTGGCACTATACTTCTTATGTACAGCCTACAGACCCACCAGCCAAATAAACCTATTTTCTTTAGAAATTACCTACCCTCAGGTATTCTTCATGGCAACACAAATGGGATAAGACAAGGTTTATCCATGTTTTAACATATATCAGAGCTTCATTCTTTTTATGTCCTTATTTTATTAACATAGTGTATCACATTGATTTTTCTGTATATTGAATCAACCCTGCATTTTGAAACAAATCACATTTGGTCTTGGTGTATAATCCTAGATTTAATGTGATAGTATTTTTTATTGAAAATTTGGGCATGAGGCCGGGCACAGTGGCTCAAGCCTGTAATCCCAGCACTTTGGGAGGCTGAGACGGGCGGATCACGAGGTCAGGAGATCGAGACCATCCTGGCTAACCCGGTGAAACCCCGTCTCTACTCAAAAATACAAAAAACTAGCCGGGCGAGGTGGCGGGCGCCTGTAGTCCCAGCTACTCGGGAGCCTGAGGCAGGAGAATGGTGTAAACCCAGGAGGCGGAACTTGCAGTGAGCTGAGATCTGGCCACTGCACTCCAGCTTGGGCGACAGAGCAAGACTCTGTCTCAAAAAAAAAAAAAAAAAAGAAAATTTGGGCATGTATATTCATAAGAAATATTGATCTGCAGTTTTCTTTTCTTGTGATATCTAGTTTTGGTACCAAGGGGATTGGAAGTGTATTAGGCTGTTTGCATGGCCATAAAGAAATACCTGAGGTTGGGTAATTTATAAAGGATGGTCAAAGATCTGCAGGTGGTACAAGCAGGGTTCCAGCATCTGCTCCTGGTGAGGACCTCAGGAAGTTCACAATCATGGCAGAAGGCAAAGGGGAAGCGGGAGCAGGCATCTCAGGTGGCCAGAGGGGGCGCAAAAGAGTGAGAAAGGGGAGGTCCCAGGCTTTTAAACAATCAGATCTCATGTGAACTAACTAAGCAAGAACTCACTTATCACCAAAGAGATGGCATTAACCATTTATGAGAGATCCACCCCATGATCCAGTCGCCTCCCACCAGGCCCCACCTCCAATACTGGAATCACATTTCAACATGAGATGTGGAGAGGACAAACACCCAAACGATATCAGCAAGTTGGAATGCCACAAAGCTGACTAAACGCCTGCCCAGTGTGAAGTGTTAATAAATATCTGTCAGGAAGAAGTCACCCAAACACCACATGCCATAAGCTCCCCATTGGATAGAGCAGTGGCCCCCACAGTCGCTGACCTGCAGACAGAGCAAGTTGGTTAGGGCAAGGGAGGGTACAGAACCACAGAGAAAAGGAACTGATGTGAGATGCTAGACTGAATTAAGAATTCTGTTCCAATTCTGATATCATGTGATCCTATGATTAGAAACTGGGTTTGGGCCAAGTGTAGTGGTTCACGCCTGGAATCCCAGCACTTTGGGAGGCCAAGGTAGGCAGATCACCTGAGGTCGGGAGTTTGAAACCAGCCTGGCCAACATGGTGAAACTCCGTCTCTACAAACAATACAAAAATTAGCTGGGGGTGGTGTCAGGCACCTGTAATCCCAGCTACTTGGGAGGCTGAGGCAGGATAATCACTTGAACCCAGGAGGCGGAGGTTGCAGTGAGCCAAGATCATGCCACTGCACTCCAGCCTGGGCAACAGAGTGAAACTCTGTCTCAAAAAAAAGAAGAAAGATGAAAGAAAAGAAAGAGAGAGAAGAAAGAAAGATAGAAAGAAAGAAAGAAAGAAAGAAAGAAAGAAAGAAAGAAAGAAAGAAAGGAAGGGAGGGAGGGAGGGAGGGAGGGAGGGAGGGAAGGAAGGAAGGAAGGAAGGAAGGAAGGAAGGAAGGAAGGAAGGAAGGAAGGAAGGAAGGAAGGAAGGGAAAGAAAGAAAGGAGGGAGGGAGGGAGGGAGGGAAGGGAGGGGAGGGGAGGGGAGGGGAGGGAGGAAGGAAAACTGAGATTTGAGAAGCAAGTAAGCAAAACATCATGTTGTACACCATAAATATATATAATTTAACTTGTCAATTAAAAATAAAATTTTTTTAAAAAGTCAGTGGAGAGCTGGGAGGTTATATTTCATGACAGCTAAGAAAAGAGAGCTCCCAAATGAAGGCAAAATGCCAATAAAAATCAGAGAGGATGAGAACTGAAGAACTAGATTCAGTACCATTCAACCTTACCTCACTTTTTGGTGCCTTCCATCCCAAATCTATTCTTTCCATCTCAATCTCACTCCCAATCCCCACGCTAAGGCTGTATTTTGTACTTACCTGAGTGATAGAACCAGTGAAAGAATGCATTAGTAAAATTAGGGGAAAGAAAATAAATGGAAAGAAGATACCCATCAGACCAGTCAGATATTTTATCTTTCAATTTGCTGGAAAAAATTACACAATCTGTTTAAGCACATACGTACTGTTTATAGACACTGTGCTCATTCTGTGTATAAGACACAAATGACTGACGGAGAAGCAGACTGCCCTCCTGCTCTACAAAGGAGAGGGAGGAGGCCCTTCATATGTCAAGGTCTTCTGCAGAGACAGTGAGGCTCCTTCAGCACTTTATTGGGTCTACAAGTCATCCGTCACTCTTCCTCCTAACCTATATCACCATTGCTTCCATCCAATTACCCTGCCTACAAAACAATACGTCTATGACTACTTCAACATTTTCTGCCAGGAGAATGTTTATACTCTTGACAAAGCAGCATCTATTTTACTTCAATGATACTAAAAAGATTCCCTCTGCGCTCTCACTCATTGCTGGTAAAAATGGTACACCACGGAGGGTGTCTGGCAATATCTAGGAAAATTAGCGATCCTCCTTCTAGGATTCTGAATCCATGGCCCTCCGGACACAGTTTTATTGACATTGGCTCATGAATTATACACACGCTGTACCCTACACAAGTGCTTATGTACCTGTCCATCTGTGCCAGAGTGAGCAGCACAAGAGCCAGGTCCTATTTTCCTCTCCATCTCTAGGAGCTGGCATAGTCTCATACTGCAGCACATTGGAAGAGTTCGTTAAATACTTACTGAATAAATGTATGAATCAAAGAATGACCCAGTGTCAGCACACTGGTGCTATGGAAATATTCTCTCTGTCCCTCTCATATGTCATGTATCTGCAGGTGAACATTGGTAAAAAATCTTACTGAAATGACCTGTTTATACTTAGTTCATATGGTAAACAGCCCCACAGCAATCCAGAAAAAGAGACTTTCTATAAAATTATGCTCTTCCGGCAGGGCATGGTGGCTCATGCCTGTAATCCCAGCACTTTGGGAGGCCAAGGCGTGCGGATTACCTGAGATCAGGAGTTTGAGACCAGCTTGGCCAACATGGTGAAACCCCGTCTCTACTAAAAATACAAAAATTAGCCAGGCGTGGCAGCACACGCCTGTAATTCCAGCTACTCGGAAGGCTGAGGCAGGAGAATTGCTTGAGCCTGGGAGATGGAAGTTGCAGTGAGCCGAGATCATGCCACCGAACTCCAGCCTGGGTGACAGAGCGAGACTCTGTCTTACAAAAAAAAAAAAAATATATATATATATATATATATGGTCTTCCAGGAAAAAAGCAAGTAAACTTTTAAGAAGCAAATATTTAGCTGATTGGTGCTCCTTTCAGAAATCCAGACTTAGATAACTCACAATTATGTGTATACATCCTTCTGCTCTTTTATTTTTCTTTTAAGCAGTCCATTTATTTCATGATTGTTTGTTAAATCAATAGGACTTTTTTTCTTTCATTATTTTTCTTTTTAAAGGAACCAGACCAGGGGCAGTGCTTCACGCCTGTAATTCCAGCAATTTGGGAGGCTGAATTGGTAGGATTGCTTGAGATCGGGAGTTTAAGAGCAACCTGAGCAACACAGAGAAACCCTGGTCTCTACAAAAACAACAACAACAACAAAAAGTGCAAACATTAGCTGAATGTAGTGGTACACACCTGTAGTCCCAGCTACTTGGGAGGTTGAGGCAGGAGGATGGCTTGAGCTCAGGACTTTGAGGCTGCAGTGAGCTATGATCACACCACAACACTCCAGCCTTAGGGAGAGAAGGAGGCCCTGTCTCTAAAAACAAAAAAAGGAACCTTATAATATACCTCACTCGGCAGCTTGGTTGCTT